TTGTACTCCTCTATGGTTGGGCAGCTTCGCTGATTTCATTTTTGCTGTTCTTAATTACTGACTGAGAGCACCAAGTGACATAAATTTTTTATCACACTCGCACACTGGCAAGATGGTAAATGGCATTTGTGGCATTTGAAAAGATCTGGTAATACATCAGCTGAGTGATCTATTTGGTCGTGTGTGTGCGTCAACCTGCTGATTGCAAAACTGCAGCCAGTCAGGCCGCCGCAAGCGATCTGCAGCCGCGTGCTTGACCTTGTGCGTGGAGGATTATTTGATGCGGGACTGACGTCTGGTTTGTTTTCAGACTTGATCGTGCCACTTCTTTTTAGCATTTTACCACCTCCTTTGACCAACAATGTCGCATGCTGGTGCACAAAAGGTAATTGAGCAAATTTGTCTTTTTTAGTAAATCGTCTGTTTTGGAGTTTAAACTACCTTTACTGTGTTTGTAGAAGCTTTATGCAGATGTGCAGTATGGCTATATTACTTGGTAGCTGTTTAGGTGATACACCTTGCAGGGTAATGTGACGGGCTTTAGTTTTTAAATGTGATTTTACTACATTTCTAACGCACATAATTTCTTTCTAAGACAATGTAACAACAAAACAAAACAACTGTGATCTAGCTATCTGTCTGTCTGTATGTCTGTCTGTTTATTTTAACAGGGCAGTCCTCTGACACTGGTGCTGATGATTGCTTCTGCATCCATTGGAGGGACTCTTCAGTATGGATATAATCTTGCAATAATGAATGCTCCCACAACTGTAAGTTTTTGTATTTTAAATACAAATGTATTTTAAATGATTTCCTGCCATTTTAAATGATTTCCTGCCATTACTTTATAGCTATACATGTGAGTGCATGTGGTTTCTAAAAGAGTTGACAAGGGTCATGCACTGATAGTACATGTACTTAGCTACTTATGAAAACTGTTGCCTGTTATTTCACATTTGGGTCACGGTGTAATTTGGCAAAAACAAGAATTGGGTTACTTGTGCCTGTGATTAGTCATTCTTATTGTATTGCTTTCAGTTTTTTTTAGGAACTGATTCTGGATGCAGTTTTATGTTTTGCCCAGCAGCTGCACTGATTAAAGAGCACAAACTTTACCCAGAAGCAAACAATTCTGCAACCTTTTGATAATTCACAATAACACTTACACCTGCTTCCTGATGTGGATTCATAAAATATAATATTTAAGGTTTCTTTGTTGAGAAGATCAATAATAAAAACTGGCTAAAGGAGCTACAGTGTGGCTCAGATGTAATAAAAGTGGTAATAAGTGCTGGCCTGTCTCTTCTTCTCTCACAGTTTATCCAAAGTTTTATCAATGAAACATTCTTGGAGCGATGGGACGTCCAGCTGGAGGAATACCAGGTGACGTTAGTCTGGACAATCATTGTCTCCATCTTCTCGTTGGGGGGGTTTGCTGGAGCTCTTATTGCGGGACCTATGACCATACGCTTTGGGAGGTAATGTAGCATGCACGTGTAAAGGTGTAAAAGCACATGTGCACTAGGTTACAAATTGAGACTTCAACATGCAAAGAACAAATGATCAACCTACTGTCCGAATGATAGATCGTTCATTTACTTTCCTCCATCACGTGTAAATACTGTTCTGCAAAAGTCTTGCACTTTTATCATTTCTTTATACTGTGTTAGGAAAAATAGAAAGTAGGAGCAGTGTGCAAACATATGTGAAAATACAGCATATACAAATTGAACAATTCCAACGAGTTTGAAAGTCAGTATTTGGTATGACCCCCTTTACTCTTCAACACACTCTGAACTGTGTTAAGCAGCTTTTTTTTTTGTCTTGTAATTTCTTTAAGCAGTCTTCAGGAATTGTTCTCCAGGCTTCTTTAAGGTATTCAGAACTCTTGTTGGATGTTAGCTGCCTTTTGTTCTTTTCTCTGTCAAGATGAAGAGACTTTTTGTTTTTCTCTTCTCTTCAGTTTCCTCAAATTATTTAAGGACACACTGAACACCATGCCAAAAATAGCAAATTTTTCAGCTATTAGCACCTTGGTGGTGCAAAAATACTATTTTATGCCTTCAAACTGTGCTATCGTTTACATTTTCATAAATTCAGTGAAAGAAATGTAGACAAAGGTCAATGTTAAGAGGCTCAGGTACAAGGACTTTACTGAAAATGAGTGAAAAAGTAGCCAAAGAAACAGCAAAAAGTTACAAGAAGTCTAGATCCTTGGAAATTAAATATAAAGAAAGGAGACTTGTCCCAAGACTTTTGCACAACACTGCATATTTATATAATGACTTGAGTTTTGATTTTCTTTTATACTCATGTTGATTATGATTGATTCCTGCACCTTTACTGTAGTGCTTTTAAATGATGAAGCTGTGTTTTTTTTTTTTTCTTGTGTCCTCAAAACTAAAAGTCTAACAATGTTCAAGTCTTCCTGGCTTCATCTGTGGCACTCAACCAAAGCTGTCAGTGCGCCCCAGGGTGTCTATGGCTACAATGTAGCTTGCCATCACCAGTGTGTGAATGTGTGTGTGAATGGGTGGATGACAGGTTGTGTAAAACGCTTTGGGGTCCTTAGGGACTAGAAAAGCGCTATACAAATACAGGCCATTTACCATTTACCATTTTATTCTAGAATAAATATTCCTGCGTAGTGGTCTTGTAATATGACGTAACATCTCATCCATCAGTCTGTATTAAAAAAATAATAATAATAATTAAAAATAACTGTTGTCATTTTTCTTCTGAAGGAAGAAGTGCCTGCTGCTGAACAACATTTTTCTCATGACTGCTGCACTCTTAGCACTGACGAGTAGAACCGCCAGATCTTTTGAGATGATCATGATCTCACGTGTCCTGGTTGGAATAAATGCTGGTATGTTAGTACAACGTCTAAGTAATATGCATGCAAACCAGTAAACTCAGGTATCCTTACCATAACAGAGCAATGCAAGCAAAATATAATATAATAAAAATAACTATTCAACAAACACTCCTAAAAGGACATGATCATTCTACAGGTATCAGCATGAATGTGCAGCCCATGTATTTTGGAGAAAGTGCACCAAAGCACTTAAGAGGAGCTATCTCTTTGTCATCAGCTGTGTTTACAGCATTCGGTGTCGTGTTAGGACAGGTGGTCGGACTCAGGTTTGTTCATCGTGCGGCTTATAATTGTTGACAATCTCTATAATCTGTTGACAAAGAAATGTGTTAAGTATATTTCACAAATATCCACAGTAACACTCTGGATTATTTATTTAAAGAGAGATTTTGGGCAGTGAGCCGTGTTGGCAGTACCTTCTTGCCAGTAATGCCATTCCTGGACTCATTCAGCTCCTGACCCTGCCATGGTTCCCAGAGAGTCCCAGATATCTGCTCATTGATAGAGGAGACAAGGAGGCTTGTATTAATGGTGCGTACAGTATTATGTCAACCAGCAGCGAACAGTACATCACCCCCTACCACTCTCAGCTAAGGACATTTTTCATATATAAAACATATTTTAGACAGAAATCATTATCAAGTGTTAATTTTATTTTTTGATTTTTATGTTCAGCTCTGAGACGCCTGCGAGGCTGTGAGGTCCAGAGTAGCGAGCTGGATGAGATCCTGCAAGAACAGGCTGAAACCAAAGGAATGAGGGCGAGCCACCCCTGGGAGCTTTTTACTGATCGCTCTGTACGCTGGCAGCTCATCTCTGTCATGATCATTAGCAGTGCCATGCAGCTCTGTGGCAATGACTCGGTAAGAAGAAATTTCATCCGTGCTGTGATCTGAGAGATGTTTTGTGTGTGTTCTGGCTGTGAGGGTGTGTCAGGATCGCTGTAACTTATCCTGAAATGCATCAGATGTTTGTTTGGCCACAGGTTAATTTGAAAGTTGATCAGAAATTGTAGATGATGGATGGGTTTCTTAGTGTTTCTGCATGTCACATTAATTATGTATGCTGGTGATTAAGTATCAGGCCTCACTGTACTACTGGATGAATAATATGTGATGCCTGTTGTTTTGTCTGAAAAGCATGATAGGAACCTTCATACCACACATACAGACTAAATTTGAGAGCTACAAGTTTGTCATAAGGAAAAGTGCTGACTACATGATCATGTGTTTCAAGGCTTTTAACCACATGCTTGAGGTTTTAGAGAGGGCAGTGGGTATTAACACAATTACCTTTGTACAAATACTACCGTAATCAGCTTATTAAAAACTTGTAAAATCGAATGATGGTTTTCAGTGACCTCACATCTTCTGTTTTTCTTGCAGATTTACTTTTATGCATCATATGTGTTTAAAGAGGCTGGAATACCAGATGACAAAATCCAGTATGCTACAATCGGCACCGGGACATGTGAATTCACAGCCTGTATAATGTGTGTAAGTACCCATAATTAAAGCTCAGATTATGTAACCAGCTACATCCAAAGAGAGACTGTTTGCATTGTTTTTAAAGCTGTATTGAAGGCTGCAGAATAAGGACTGAAAATAACCCCTACTAGTGTATATGCAGCCAGTAAGCGGGAACACCTACATGACCTTGCATAAATGTGATACAGCAATCATTTTAGCAGGGTGCACAACATTACGCACAGCTACTAAGTCTGTTAAAAATTGATTGAATTGCTAAAGAGTCATTATAACCCTTTTGTTTTTCTGGGTATTTCTGAATCTTTCTGTGGATACAAAGACACCAAGTTAAAGTAGCAGTTCTGTAACAATGGGGAGTGCCTCTCCGGTGGGGGACAGAGCCATTGCATGCAGGGAAAATAAAGACACAAGCAGTAGCTGATGCTCCCTTTACTTTAATCCTTAATAATTGACAAAAATTAAAAACAAAATAAATGTAATAATATGTTTCCTGCTTCCCTAGGAATTAAGAGAGTAGGTAGCAGTCAGGCACTGCTATTTAAATACACTTGATTAATGGATCATCAGCATGTGTTGTGTCCTATAAAAGCAGAAGTTTGAGAAGTTTTCTGGTTTGGCCCATACATACCCCGTACAGGGGAAAATCTACAACAGAATGACTTGAAAAGAGAATAAACAAGGTGTTGTTCATACATCAACCTGACTGAAAAAGTGTGGCAGTACCTTAAGAAAACTGTGCACAAACAAATGCCTGCACATTTCAATGAACTGAAGCAACACTGTAAAGAACTGTAGGCTAAAATTCCTGCACAACAATGTGAAAGATTGATAAAGTTATACAGAAAAGGAATATTTTGAGTGATTTCTGCTAAAGTGGTCCTACGAGCTACAGAATTATGGGGTTTATCTTGTTTGTTTGTCTGTTTAAATGTAAAAAGTTTTTCATACAAGTTTATTGACCTTCACAGCAGTAGCAAGATTTTAATAGGTTAATGAAAAAAGTAAAGAAGCAAACACAAGTTTGAAGGTCTGTAAACCTTGGATAGTTGGATAGTTGTTTGTATCTTAAGTTAACTGACTGACTTCTATTAAACTATTTATCTAATTCATTGCAAAGATGCAGATAAAGTTATTTACTTACAGCATTAGCCTTCCCAACTTAAAAAGAGGCTGCCCATTTTGACTACAAATACATTAACTGTTTATAAATGACACAAGAGAGAGGTGGGCTTACATTTGGTGGGCAAACAAAGTATTTAACAGCCATATTCTGAGTATGTTTACTCCACTTTGCTTTCCTCAAAAACTAATACTAATAAAATAAAAATACTTTGCTTTTGCTCAGTCATTCTTTCTGCTGCATGTTGGTTACCTAACTCTCGTGTTCTCATTTGACACAATAAGAACAAAGTCTGATGCACATTTTGATTCTCTTAGAACCTGCTGGTAGAGCGCAAAGGTCGGAGGTTCATGCTGGCAGGAGGCTTCACCCTCATGACCTTCTGGGCTGTCGTCTTCACGATCGCTCTGTCATTTGAGGTAATCAGCTTACTTTAAATGTGAACATCAGCTCATTTATGTGATATATATATATATGCACACACAATATTGAATTTAGGTGTTATCGTAGTCATCTGTACTGTCATTAAACCAGGTTTCCCCAGATTGACTAAAGTGACTAAAGCCATCTAGTTCTTTATAGTTACTGTACTTTATTAAGGATTGTGATTATTTTGTATGAGCTTTAACCAGTGGTAAGGAACTAAGACACATCAGTGTCAAAGTCGAACCACTGGGAGGCATTGTGAGCTGGCATTCAGGCACATGTTGATATTTATCTAGAGAGAAGAGAAATGCATAATGGACAAAGAATAGAGGTGAAAAGTAGGAAGTGATGCGACATATTTGGGTTTGGAGTTTTTACAGACTTCTCTTGTCACAACTCTATGGTCTCTGTCAGATATAATAATGTTCTTGACTATGAGTTGCTCACTGCTTTCCTCCCCACATGCACACAGCACCATATAACCTGGATGTCGTACCTGACCATGACCTGTGTCTACACCTATATTCTCAGCTTTGGCATGGGACCAGGTAAGTCTTTTACCGGGATTTTACATGTGACAGGTTCAAAATGTTTCAGTACTCAACATACATTTGAAACAAAATGTCATCGTGTTTTACTATCTACACATTTTACTTATTTAGATCAACATATTTACTACATTTTATCAGTTTTCAGCATCTTACTTGGTTGGCTACTCCTTGATACACTACAGAGTACTGCAGGAGTGTGTAAAAGTGTGATACAATGGTTATATTGATATGTTATATTGATATATCTAACCAGTACGATTTTGTTTTCTTTGTTTTTTCTTAGCTGGAGTGACTGGTATTCTTCCCACAGAGATCTTCAATCAGGCGGCTCGGCCGGCAGCCTACATGATTGCTGGCTCCATGATGTGGCTCAACCTGTTCGTCGTTGGAATGATCTTCCCATTTTTAGTAGTCAGTCTGTTGCTACTTTAGTCAGCGTCTGTACATCTGTCCATGCATCCATCCAATTAGCAAACCTGCAGTGAGGAGAAATAAGCACAAGAATGGTGTTCATGTGCCAATAATATTATTACTAAGACAAGACTGGGGCACTGTATAAAGCGCTTTTCATGTTACCATGTTATTTAATAGTGGAGATGACTAGATGGTACAAAGATAGGTTAGTTTTCAGTGTGCTGCTTGATATTTACTTGTCTCTCTGAATAGTGTCCCAGCTCTACCACTACAGAAAACGGAAAAGACAAAGAAAACAAAAGCCAGTGGGTCACATGGGTTTAGTCCATGTCGGAAAACCAAGATGCCAAATGAGACAGTAGCACCCCTCCAACATTACAATTATATACCATTTGTGTTAAAATGCTGACTATTAGATAGCTTACCATCTTAATATTGGAGCTGGTAAGAACACAGATTTAGGAGCTGCATTTTTGGAGTTCAACCCACAATAGGGACTAACAGTCATGATGCATCAGTATATCAATATACAGGCCCTATAAGTGATGTACAAAATAATCCTCTTAATATTTCTTTTAGTATATGGCTTAAAAAATGTATAACTGCAAAATATCAAAATACAGCTTTCTAAGTGGATGGGTGAAAAAACTCACCTGAAACTCATCCTACTCCCACTACTCCAGGGGCCTCAAAGTCCAGGCCTCGAGGGTGTCCTGCAGTTTTTAGATCTCACCCTGGGTCAACACACCTGAATCAAGTGATTAGTTCGTTACCGGGGCTCTGGAGAACTTCAAGACATGTTGAGGAGGTCATTTATTCATTTAAATCCGCTGTGTTGGATCGAGGACACATCTAAAACCTGCAGGACTCCGGCCCTTGAGGCCTGGAGTTAAACACCCCTTACATAAGTGATTTGGTGTATGCCCTTCCTGATGTTGCCCCCTCTATGTATCCAGGGTTGTGACTGGCACTAGAAAGAAATTGGCTGTTGCCCCCTGTGGCGAGTTAAAGCAGAAGAAACACCACTGAGCTTGAACCTCTTTTTTTTTTTTTTAATAGTGAATGTACTTAGCTAAATACAGCTTGTTTCTCCCAATGATAAATTGAATACACAGAATTTTTAATGTAGTGTTTGATAAATGTATGACTGATAACATTTTGTTTTCCCTTCACAGAGCGGGCTGCGTGAGTACTGCTTTGTGCCTTTTGCAGCGATCTGCCTGTTGTCTGCACTGTATGTTGGCCTTTTTCTGCCTGAGACCAAGGGGAAGTCTCTGTCAGTCATCATGCGTGAATTTCACAGGCTCAATTTCAAAGGCCAGGAAAACCATTTTGAAGCTCAAACCAAACCTCAGTATCAGCTGGGCGAAGTGTGTCTTTCCACAGCCTTGTAGACAGACTTTTTCTCCAGAAACATGCAGTCACACCCAGCGCATGCCTTACTTTGACCTGATCTGCATCAGCGGGAAGAAGTTTTGTGGTTTGGGAGCTGCTTTTCATATCTTTGAAAAACATTATCTGAAATGTTTTTCCTGTGAGGAAAATGGCAATTTAAAGAATTTATCTTTGACTTTTTCACATTATGCTTTATGTCACTGATTGATGTGAGACAACGAGTCATTGAAACTACTTTATATTAAGTGTACTGTAATAAGGTATAAATCATCTTTTCCACAGAAAGTTATATTTTTGTTATTAGACAGAGCTGGATATCGAAGACCTGATTCAGCAAATTAAAAAAATGCATTTTTATGATGTTTTGTTCTTTTATTATTATTAATAAATAACAACAGACATGACAAAAAAAAAAGGTCACCACACTGACATCATGAATAAAACCCATGGTCCTTTCAATTCATCAAGGTAAACTGCTTCTTACATTATCCTTTCAGCTGGTAGTTGAAAGGCATTTTATGCTGAATACTTGGTTTTGTTTTAATCAGTAAAGCATTTTTTTTTTTTTTATCTTTGTGACACATAGTCCAGAAACACAACAAAGTTATAACAATACAGAACAGACCAGAGAACTGCAGTACAAGAAGTTAGAGCACTGGAAACATAAATGTTCATCTGGATGAAACCAGAATACAGGAGGAAGAAAATCAGACAATCCAACAATACAAAATAAAAAGTGGTAGCAGTGTGTGTTAGAAATGACCACAGTGGTTACTTTTTTATTCACATAATTATCATTATTAGTAGTCCAACTGTCTATACGTTGAACTTTGTTAAAGACTGCACAACACTTTATATTAAAGTGGCTGTCTTCAGAGACTAACACGTGAGGCTGAAGATTAATGTCCAGTCTCAAATCAGAGAACAAAAGCAAAAAAAAAGAAGAAATAAAGGTTATTCCAACTGACTTCCTGCTGATTTGAGTGTAATCTTACACACATTTTCACCAAAATGTTGCCAGAAATAGCTCTTAGATGGGATCTTTGCCATGCTGGTCAACATTGTGATCTATAACCAGTGTTGGGAAGGTTACTTTTAAAATGTATTCCATTACAGAATACAGAATACATGCCCCAAAATGTATTCTGTAACGTATTCCGTTACGTTACT